TTTTATTTCAGGAAGGCCTTCCCTGTGGGACCCAACTCCACCAGCAACTTTCAGTTTTCTTCAAGGATCCGTCAACTGGGCCTCAGAGCCCTTTGCTCAATCAGAGGCCCCACCAGCATTGTCTACATCACTCCTAGACCTCCCCTCCTGGCCCTGTGCCCCGCTTTGGGCACTGAGGGTCCTTCTAGTTCTTGTAGGGGGGAACCTAGTGGCTGGGTTTACCTAGCCTTATGCCTAGGCCTGCCCTTTCCCAGGCCCTGCTCTAGGCTCTGGGGTTCTTTTAGCTCTTTGGCCGGGCCACACTGCAGGGCTCTGGTTATCCGGCTTATGCTGGGGTTAGCCTGAGCAGCCTCAAGCTGCTCCCAGGGCAGGTTCTCCATGTGCCAGACTGCACACCATGTGGGCCCAAGCAGCCTCATGCTGCTCTCAGGGCCAGATCTCTGTGCCGGTTTACATATCACATGGGGCCCGAGCAGTCTTGAGCTGCTCCCAGGGCCAGCTCTCCCTGTGCTGGTCTGCACACTGCTCCATCCAGCCCTATGCTAAGGATGCAGGCTCGAGCTGCCTTGACGCAGCTCCCAGAGCCTGAGCCCCGTGCACCAGCCTACGCACTGCTAGAGCGAAGAAGGGATCCCAGTGGAGGCTCTTCCCTCTCTAGCATCCCTCACCATCTCTGACCAGGTGGAGGCCTGTGGCAGTGACTTGGTCATGTCTCTTGACAACAAATAGATGCTTAAAAGAGTGCTTGCTGAGGCATCCTGTGACAGCTAAAACTGGCTTTCTGAGGGTTAAACCTAGTTTTCTGCTGCTTCTCTATGTATTGTAGAATACTTATAGTAGAAGAAAGAGTATAAAAGGAAGCTGTTGTAGTTAAGCATTTCCTGTATTTTGTTAATGCCTTTTGCCATAGCTTAAAGCCAGCTTCATTAGCGATGGCGCAGCTCAGATTAATCATATAAGGAAAATGCAAAGGCTTGTACTGCTATTGGTTAGTCATATAAGGAAAGTTGTAGCATAAAACCTATAACTGGCTGCAAGCCAACAGCGTACTTCAAAAAAATCTATAAATTTGCTGGTGCATCCAGAAATTGTCTGAAGGAAAGCACAGCATGGTAAAAGAAGCTATCATTGTGAAAGAGAAACCGCAGACCTGGATTCGGTGGGGTGGTAGGTCCGGAGAAGCCCAAAGACTGAATACCAGGGTCCTTCCCAGTACCCCTTTGGACAGCGTAGATTGGGGACGCCTGACTTCACTGGATTTCAAGAGGCTTGTTGTATACTGGGCATAAAAGGGGACTGCTGGTAAGTTGCCGACTCGGAGATTTACCGTGTGTCTTTGTTGTGTTGTTAAGCTTTGCGTAATTACGTGTTTGTTAGATCAATAAACCTTTCTTACCTTTTCACCCCGACCATTCTCTCAATCCCGAACCAACTCACTGCAGGCAGCTGGGACAAAAATTGGTGTCATGAACAGGATTGAGAGATTCTGGTCCAGAGAGAAAGGTGGAAATGGAGGAAGTTGGGTGGGCTCTGTTGGTGGTTTTTCTTGAGGAAGTAACAGGAACAGAGAATCCTGGGTGGAATATGGATAAGTGAGATCTGCCTGGAGTGACCCAAAAACCGTACCTGATCAGTGGGCTAAGTTTGCCTCTGCCACCTGGGGTAAACCCAAGAAGATGTGTCTGTCATGGCTGCTGGCCATGTGTCTGCAGTTGGGGGCTGAAGAGATTGTCCAGCTCTGGGAAGAGAACACCCAATTAAGTAAAGAGCTAGAAGATGTAAAGAATTTCAACAGTGTGGCATGTGAAGCAGCAAAAGCAGCTCAGAGTCGCTTGGAGGCATTAGAACAAAAGGAGAAGAAGGTTATGATTGCATGGGCAGCTGCTTCCCTTCAGAAGAAGGCACAGTTAGCACAGGCTGTGAAGACTCCTTTCAAGAAAGTACAACAGTGCTTGTATGATAAGAAACAGGAAGTAAAGCTCTGGGAAAAGGAGGGGGAGGAGATTGATGCTGAACTTATGCTGACCCGCCCCCGTATGTCCCTGCCCAGAGAGAAGAAGTCAGCCAGACATTTCCTGTAATAGTAACTCACTCAGGGCCTCAAGGGGAAAACCCCCAAGCAGAGCTACATTCTTTTACCCGTGCAGAAATACGAGATATACAGGAACAGCATAAGTCCAAGCCGGGGGAGTCAGTAATAGACTGGCTAGTTCTAATGTATACTGAAGAGGCTTCAGCAATTTCTGAGAGTCATGCTGAGGCAGCCCAACTAATTCTATGCCCTGAGCTCCAGTTGAATCAATTTGCAGGAGCTGGTGAAAATGTTACTTTGTTTCTGCTGTGCTACAGGCAACCACCAACAGCTGTGGTAATATGGAAGAAGAGCTTAACCCCACCATTCAGGCGTGGGCCAATTTAGAGGAGGCTGTCCACTGTTTATATCAGTTAGCGCTGACTGACATCATTCGTTCAGGAAATTGGACTCACACACTAGATGAAGAAGTCGTAACTGTACTGGAGGAGGTTCTGCCAGTGAGCACCAACAGTGTCACCGGAGGAATTTTCTGCTCTAAGGGCGAAACTGTTAACACTTTCCTAGGCACATGCAAGGCCACCACCACTTACCTCCTCTAATCACCTGGCCTAGGAAGTCCAGCTGGCCCGACCCCCAAGAGAAGGGGCCACCATGGGGATGGTAATGGGCCAAAGACCGGCATCTAATATTGGCTCCTTAATTTGGATACCCATACAGATTCAATTAAGTAAAAGCAAAAAGTGAATCAATATGCTATTAAACACAGGTGCCCAGATTTGCATTTTAGATTCCACAAATTGGAAAAGAGAAAAAGGAACCCCTTATCAAGAATTCTAGTTCAGGATATCTAGTCGAGCAACCTTTGCGTTACCTAATGGCTCTAAGGTAACGGCAGCAGCAGTAATACTTAAAAGTGGGGCAAACTTACTGGGACTAAACGTACTAAAAGACAGCAGTTTGCCCTTGAGCAAGAAAATTGGCAATTTAGGTGTGCAGTGTCTCACCAAAAAACCAAAAGAAACGGCTATGATGGCTGCTGTCCCGTCTCTACCTGCCTTAACAGAAGACATCTGGTGTTATGGGCCTGCATGGATGAGATCCATTAATATCAAAAACAAGTTGCAACAGTACGTGTTTGTAGCTATAGAAGTTATCACGGAAATAACGTTCGCCCAAGCCTCAGCAAGAGCTACTGCCGAGGACACTTGTGCAGCACTGAAAACTTTGCTAGCCATATATCCACCACCCATTGAATTACAGAGTGATAATGGCCCTCGTTTCCGCAATCATCTTGTATATGA